ACAGTACGTAATGATGAGGACTGTATTCTATGGTATATTCGAAAACTACTTACTGGCCGTTCGAGCAGATGCGAGTACTTTGCAATATGTGATCTGTTGCACTTGAAAATTTCGTGTCACATTTGAAGGTAGCTAATGATGCCGCGTTTTCGCTTTCGCGCGTTTTTTACCTCCGAAAAGTTCGTGGGATATATAATCGGGGTCAGGGCTTCCATGGCACAAATCGTAGCACGATTTCACAGTTCCGAAGAAACGTTTGAATGAGGTCATTAGTGGTATGAAAAACCAATATGCGCGTTCTAGACAGATGTATTGAGGGGAAATCCACGTTGCGACTAGGCGGCGAAAACGACACTGCAGCTAGTGTCACGTGCTCGGCATCGCATCAGAACCTCTAAAATGGTTCCATGTGGAAGTGCTGTGGTACGCTAAAAAACTCCGCGATTGCATACCGTGGATAGTACGTAAATGACTGTCCAAGAGGGAAAAATCGAGAAAAGTCATGGCAGTTATCCTAAAAAATCATGGGAATAATCCTAAGTAAGGACCCTCGGCATCCTCATTGTACGAGTCCGCCGGACCCGCTCGTTTTATGCCAGCGGAGCGATATCCTATCGCCTCTGGCTCACTAATAGTTTCTTCGCATCATTCAATGTTGTACCACCTAATAAGGAAAAAAAGGAAAAGAAACTGGTGTAAAAATCACACTCGTGATAGAAATTGCCTTTGAAGTTTCGGTGGGCGGCGTCACTAATGAGGCGTCAACTGCCATATGAGAGCCGCAGCGCATTTGCTAGTTATTGTGAAGCCGCGAAATCGGGACAGTCTTAGAAAATGACTACGAGACTACAAGTACAGGGAAGACTATTCTCCCCAAGCTCCTTTCATACTTTGCGGCAGTCCTCTAGCGTTTCAAGCGTCCGGTAGCGTCAACGACTGGGAAAGTATAGATATCGATCTAGCGTCTCCCAGCGTCGCCACCGTCTACCAGCATCCGGGAACGGAGAGTATGGCGCGATAGGAGGGTAGCAGACAGCTGGTACCCTCCTATCGCACCATACTTTCTACCAGCAGTCTGCCACCCTCCTGCCTCCCCACACTCTACCAGCTATCTGCTGGATGGATCAG